GAGCGGAAGATCCCTCATTCACGCTAAGCCCGGTGCTTCTCGTCCCTCCGTCATTACCGACCGTCGTGTCAGCACTCTAGTGCTTTCGACCTGCATCGCGTTTGTACAACGCTCAGGCACGACTTGTTTTCCCTTCCGTCGACCCCGTGCCCCTGCATGATGAGGTCGCGTACGGTTACAGGTCTGAAAGGTGTGCGGGTCGCGGTATGCGAGGAGGCGAGCAACTCCGACACTCTGAACGAGGCTGCCCTCAAGAAGCTGGTGGGGACGGAGGTCATCACGAGCAGAGAACTGTACAAGGCATTCGTCACGTTCGAGACGACCCAGCTGGTGAGTTGGCCTGAAGGGTTTGGGGTTTGGGGAGTGCCACGTGTCACTGTCTGATTGGTGGGACAGATGGGACGGCTGGGACAAACAAGAGACCCTGGGGATGCCGGCCAGATTCTCGAAGGGATCCCCTAACACCTCAGGCGGCAGGAGTGGTATCGCATAGAGTTCGAAATCTGTACTGTGCCGTGATTATTGAAAGTGCTCCCCACGCTGACCACCCCGTCGCCGACTCTGATCGAAAAAACATGTACTAGGCTGTGCCAGCCGTCTCGGAAACGAAAAGAACTATCTGTGCCTACAAACGCACTCGCCTACCCCTGCAGCACATACTGTGCACGAACGAACTTCCCGCACCCGAGAGCAGCTGGACGATCGCCCTGCAGCGACGGATCACGATGGCCTACTTCATGAAGAGGTACTTCGCCTCGATCGAGGATGGCTACGACCCAGACAACCCACTGCACGGCAGGGCTGATCCCACGCTGATGACGAAGTTGTCCGACCCCGTCAACCAAGCGGCGTGCTTGGTCTTCCTGGTTCAAGGGGCTGTCAGCTACTTCCGAGACGGCCAAAAGCTGCTGGAGATGCCATCCAGGAGCCGCGATATCATGAACAGCTACCAGCTCTCGACGGACCCATTCTTAGCCTTCCTCGACAACAGCTGTGTTGTCGGAGACTTCTTCGTGGGATCCAGGGAGCTCCTGGACGAGTACAACAACGGAAACAGGAAGGTCGATGGCAAAGAGGTCGGACGCCTCGTGAAGATTGATGCCAGCCAGTTGAAGCGAATGATGCAGCTGAGGGGGTTTGAGGAGCCCAACAAGGCGCGGTGCCTCGGATTTCCGGAGTTCGGCTCGACCAGAGGTTACAAAGGTCTCAGGCTTAAGACGGACGGCGAATTAGAAGACGATGCAGAGTAGTCAGTTGAATGTTGCGGGCCGCGTATAGGTCTGCAATAGGCATGCAGTAGTATTCCACAGATGCGCCTTATCTGCTGATACGACGAGTTCTTTGTGTAGAAGAAGAATTGCATGGAACAGCTAGGCATGTTTGGCATCTGTGGAAGTGCCGGGCAACCAAGAACGTCAAACCAACGTCACACGAGACCATGATTGTACGTTCGCATCCTTGTAGTATGTCCGCTTGTGGTCCACGTCCGAATATCGAGCAAGCAAGTATAGAATTACAGATTGATTGCTTGTTAGTATGTACAGTAGTCAGACGTTCTAGCCACGCTCAAGCGGTACCCCCTCACATGGATACACCTACTTCTTGGCCCGCCTCAGATCTCTTGCACGCTGTATGTACGGTTTCTCCTGGTTGAGGAAGGCCACCTTGTCTTGTATGGTGGCTATAGCCGACCGCTTACTGGGTAACGCCCCCTTGTTGCCGGTTCGCTTCCTTTTTGCACTCTCCATATCTTCGGGTCTTGCTCCCTTCCACCACTCCGCACGGTCGACTTGAGGCTGCGCTGTCCGCGGGGCGGTCTGGTTGATAGCTTGTGCCCCTAAAACCTCCTTGGAAATCTTTTTCATGGTCTCCGATTCCCAAGGAGCTGAGATTGGACACGGAGGGGCAGACTCGTGGTGGCCGAAAAAGATCGACGTCCATGTGGTCCCCTTTTTCGCTTCCGTGGCCGCCCATGACCAGTACGTATCTTCCGATGCGCCAGCCGGTAGAGGGTTTACGCTCGAAGGATTGTCTTCTTTGGTGAAGGTGATCGGGCTTTTAGGCTCGGTGTGGAGCCTCGGGCCTCTCTCCGCGTCGTCAAGGTTCCGCGACGGTTCCGAAGGAGACAGTGCTGCTCTGAAGCACTCTTCCTCCGGTGGAGGTTCCGGTGCCCGCTCGACGGGCGTGCTTACAGGCCGCCATGAGCACTTGCCGGGTTGCCAGACAAAGCCCCATCTCTTGAACTGAGTCTTCTCGACCCCAGTAGGATCAGACGCCACGCACGTCGCCGCGTATCGTGCCACCAGTTCGTCCGTACTCGAGGCGCTGATGGCACTGAGGTACGTCTCGAAGAACCGACGGGAGTCCACCTTGGCACCTAGGAACGCCCTGCGGCCGAGACGGCGTCGCAGCGAGAAGAGGCCTTGTGCGGTGTCGAAGACCACGGTGCGATTCGATGCGAACGGGAAGCTCAGGCCCCTGACCTCGATGGAGAAGATGGCGAACTCTGACGTGGCAGGAGCTGGAGGCCTGTTGGTCAGATCGCCCGCGACTCGCTCCACCACCGGTATGTGCCGGCCGTCGCACGCCTCGTCTCGGCACTCCTCGCTCTTGCACGACCGAGGTGTTCTGCAGTCGACTACCCAGATCATGTCGTCGTGCACGGTCTCTCTCTTGAGCATCTCGGTCGACGAGATGGCGCTGTGCTGGACCTCGACGACCGTGCCGTTCGAACAACGGATGTCCGCGATGCATCGGACGGCCCGTCCTGCGATGGTCGCCTCCACGGGTACTTCGACGTGCTGCGGTAGGCAGATCTCCTGCCATGCGGCGTGCCAAGACGTCATGGGCTCGGTGGACGTGGCGTAGGCGGTGCATGCCACCTGATGAGCGTAGTGGTGGACCTTGAGAGCACCTCTTTTGGCGATCAAGCCCCCGGAACAGGCAGCGCAGGTGATGTTCCCCTTCATTTCGCGAACGTAGTCGGAGATGTGGATCTTCCGAGGAGGAGACCCTTCCGGACTCGGAGGGTGCCAGGCACCGAAGAGGAGAGACATGGTGAATTGGGGATGATGGTGTGGCCTGCGCTTCCTTAAGCCTCGCGCTCACATAATAGTGATCGATGCATGTGCTTAGGTGCGAAGGTTTTTGAATACAATCAGATGGACGAACACATCGACCGTGTCGATGCATGTGACACACCATGACATGTACAATTGCAGCCGCGCTCTCCCTTCCAATGAGAATCTTGAATGTTCTTACGGATCCCGCTTTAAGAGATTACAAGACTTCACTTCCGTATTGGGTTTCTAAGTCAATCAAATGCTGTGGTTTTCAACGATATAGGAAATTGAGGTTCGACAAGTCTCCACTCTTAAGATGTACTTCCGTCACAACCTTGAAGAACGTTAGGGTGTCTTGCTTACGGCAATGGCGACAGCTATAACGACAAGAACAGTGGCAACGATGACGGAAATGGTAGATACATGAAGGCAAATAACAAACTTCGGCCGGCACCGGGTGCCCAGGGCTTCTCCCGAGCGTGCAGCGTTCGCTAACACCGCAGCGGGGTTTTCGTGTGACTCTCCCGCAATCTCGGCATGTCCAGATGTTTCGGCCAGAGCGCCCTCTCCAAGGGGCGCAGGTCTAGGGTGGGGGGATTCTCCTCCGTTTCCGTTTCTTCTTGACGCAGTCCCCCCTCTCCTCCGCCCGACTCGACGGCCTCGCCGGACAGATCGTCAGCGCGCCAAGCTTCGCTTTGGAACCACTTCAATGCAGCTGGCCAAGTCCAGCCGACTGGTTTCCAACCCCTGAGTTGGTCTTCCAGATCCTCCGTCGTGGAGACTTCCTCGCACATTGTCCTTGCCTTCAGCCTATCCTGTTTAACGCCATTTTGGCCGACCCAGAGCATCCAAGCTGACGTGAGTTTTGAGGGTGCGTTGAAACTCAACGAAGATTCGAATAATCGCAACGCCTCGACCCAGTTCGGTGCACCTCCTAGACCCTCCATCAAGTACTCCGCCAAATTGGCCTTAATGCCGGGGTCCCCTTGCTCAGCAGCCGTTCGCATCCACTTGACCGCTATCGCCCCGTCCTTCTCGACCCCCCTGCCGTCAGCATAGCATTCGCCCAATTTGTATTGCGCCCACGCGTTGCCTTGCTCGGCGGCCTTCGCGTACAGCTCCGCGGCGCGCGCCTCGTCCCTCTCCACGCCTGTGCCGGTTTGGTAGCACATGCCCAGGTAGCGCTGCGCCGTCGCGTTGCCCTGCTCGGCGGCCTTCGCGAACAGCTCGGCGGCGCGCGCCTCGTCCTTCTCCACGCCCTTGCCGAACCAATAGCACAGGCCGAGGTAGCACTGCCCCCTCGCGTCACCCTCATCGGCGGCCTTC